AATTATTAGATAATTCACAGTACTCACTGAATAATCTATAGTAATTCATAGTGATTCACTTTATACTGTATACTATTACAGTACACAGTATGTATTATCATATGTCACTTATTTAGGTAAAACGCATCAGCAAAACAGTGGTGCTACATTTAAAAAGGCTATAAAACACTATGAGTACAATTATTTTTCAGTCCAGCATTTTTCAAAAGAAAACTAAAGCAACAAATATTTATTTGAAAAAAATAATAATAATATGATTTCATAATGGGCTAAGATGCAATCAGCTACTTGTTGCTAAGCAGCCTCTTTATAATTGATCTAAATCTGCCTTCATGATCCATGCAGTTGTTCAGTGTTCTAGAGGTACTGATGATACCATCATATACTCAGAAACCTGTATTGAGATGTCCTTTATTACGATAACAATACCACAATAGCATATTGCCCAATCTTAGATGGGATGACAGTGCAGTTCTTCTTGATTTTTTTCTCTTGCAGTCCAAAGATGAGGGTGTCTTTCATAGTCTTCTCCTCTAAAGCCGAAGTGATTCTACCCCTCACTGGAGACAGGTGTGTTGTCCTCTCTTCAGCCTTTACAAACAAGCAAATCTACCCAGGCGTGCACAGCGCTGGCCATGTCCCACCCTTCTGCGTTTTCTGCCAACACTAATGTAAACTCCCTAAACTCTGCTGGGTGGAAGATTTCCGGAGAAAGGCTGATTTAATTACTCTCCAACCAGGGCTGCTCAGCTTGTTCCTCAGAGGGATGTAATGTATACTAGTGTTTCTGCAAATCTGCACAGCTAATCGATTTGCATTCTTTGTAAAAGAGACGTTGTGCAGATTTGGAATGCAGATATTTCAGCACTGATAAGACCAAGTTGGATGTCTCTGCTACAGTAATTCCCTTTTCATCTGCACAATTACAAATCTTCTTTTTCTTTTTGTGTACTTTTAGGCCTTCTATTGATGTGGGGTTGGAGCGCTTGAGTAAGATTAAACCTGCTGGTGAAACCTACATGCATGAGGGGATTATAAAGGTATGTGTATTGTACATACTAACTAATCTTATCCTTATAATGTGCTTATAGTGCATATATACATGTACAGTGTATGTTATATTGTACATGTAATGTGCAATATGCATGTAGATATGTATACATGTAAATGGTTGTAGTGTAGTTGTTGTACATATATGTCTATGTATGTATATGTGCATATGTGTGTGTGTGTGTGTGTGTGTAGAACAAAGAAGTGGTTGTGTCTGATCAGTGCAAACAAAACCTTGTATCTTCAAAATGGCAACTTTATAGGAGAAGAAAAAACATTCCTAATTTGTAATGGAAATGAATGTAACAAGATTGTTGTACAAGTAATTGTGAACCATTTCTACTGGTATGTTCATCATGAAATTCTAACAGAATGCAGAAGGTATATATATACAGGGAGATTCAAAAAGATTCATCCGATTTCAAAATGATTTATTTCACTTGTAAATCATTACAGAACAATGCAGTAAATTGTAAATGGTTTAAGTGAGCATAAAGTTTATTATGTAATTTTACAAGTGCTCAATATGGCCTCCTCCAACTATATGCACAACATCAACGCCATAGTCAAATTCATCCCATACTCGATTGAGCATGTTGGGTGTCACTGTACTCACAGCTCTTTCAATGAGATTTCGGAGTTCATCCAGTGCTGTGGAACCAACGACGAACGCTCTGAGCTGTTGGAGGTTCACTGCCGATGAAAATCATGTTGCACAGTTCACGGATTCACTCTTATTGAAGTGGAAAACGCAAAACGCTTTCTGCTCAGGGGTCGCCATCTCCTTGCAGACTGAAGGGAGCCATCTTCTGGTGGCAGTCAGAAACTCTATGACCCCCTCTTTCAATTGGTATGTGATTGGTTCCTAGGTGCCTCACGGTTGTAAAAATATGGCGCTTTGAAATCGGATGAATCTTTTTTAAAATCACCCTGTATATATATATATATATATATATATATATATATATATATATTTTAGACAAATATTTCATTGGACCGTCATGTGCAATGTGCATGTTTTTACTTTTTCAGGTTATAGAACAAATGAAAGCTCAAAGTACAAGAGCATCAAGCATTGTTATTGCACTGACTGATGGGAAATTAGAAGTCTACCCACATGACCTCACAGTGAAGCAGGTGAGGAAGCCACATTAACTATAGACCAGCTAACCATTTGGAACCAGTTCTGGACAGACCACAGCACTCCATAAAGGGCCCATATTCTGCATTTCTCTTGTATTGTATTGTATTTTATTTTAGATTACAATGCTTGTGTGGTTTTATTTTCCAAAAACAGTCAGAACTCATTTTTAGATTTCCAACCTTTCTTGATCCCTTAGAACTGATAAATTTAGAAATTAGACTGACTGTTTTTGTTCTTGCACCTATAGGACTGATATATGTAAATGATCTCTGTTCTGATTGGCTTACCTGTTTTTCCACTGTATTATGGCTGCCAAAAATTAGTCAGAGCTGAAATGTACAAAACAAACTGTTAATTTTGAACTGCAATCTGCAGGGACAGAAATAAATTCCATGCACTTCTCTCGGAAGCATGGATCCTTTGGAAGGTTGTGATGTTGCATTTTCTACAGGGCAGTCAGGAACAGCACAATGTTTAATTAGTTTCTCCACATCTTCCACTTCAATAACTTTGCTACACACTGTCTTCAAGAACAGCTCTCATCACTTTGGTGTGAATGAGTGGAGCTATACTGCTGTAGGTGGTTTGAATGGCTAGCATATGTAAAAACAAACTTGTTTTAAAGTTCATCATGGTTGTGATGTCACAGCCATAATAAAATCAAAACAGGGTGTTTTTGCAACGTAGCTTGCATATGTGGATCGTATGGCTTGGGGAGCAAATGCTATGTTTTACAGCCATAACAATGATAATGTAGTCCATTACATTGCTTTATTTAGCTGTGTGTCATGTGTCAATCCCTACACCTGTCTCTGTGTGCATGCAGGCGGATCTAGCGAGACAGTATGGTGCCCGTGTGTACTGTGTGGGGGTGAAGGACTTCGATGCCCATCAAGTATGTGAGACATTATCTGTTTGCACAGCATCACTCTGCCCTTATGCAGTCTTAAAAGAATATGTAATGTGTGTTACCTGTTCATGCAAATGTTGGTGTAATGTAGTGAGTAACACTGCTGCCACCCACGTGGCTGACTAGCGCTCAATTTCTCTGCCTGGGAAAGCACACCACGCTATACCAATAAGAGTCCTTGGGCTAGACACCAGTGCTATATTCAACTAGCTCTGTAATATAATCAAATTGTAAGCTCTGAGTGTCTGCAAAAGGCATAAATATAACTGGAAATAACACAGCTGATGCAAACTGTTGTCCAAGACACTTTATGTCTAGATGAAAAGTACAGTATGGCTGTACATTATTTTCCCAATATTGGGTAATTAGTACCATCATCCCGTAAGAAAAATCATTCAAATGTACAAGTGAGAATATAAAAATGTGGTTAATATACACTTCCAGTCATTTGTCATCATACATCATCATCAAAGGTTGTTGCTTCATTGCAAATCCAAATATAATATATATTTATATATATATATATATATATATATATATATATATATATATATATATACACATATTTGTATTTAACCCTGCAGTCCTGTTAAAAGCAACTCAGAGCTAATTTCTAAAATAAACTGAAATAAACACTTTTTGGTCTCTGCATAATTCAGCATGTGTTATTTCATAGTTGTATGTCTACACTATTATTCTAAAATGTGGGGAATGGTAAAAAACAAGGAAAACTGTCTGTGTCCAAACTTTTGACTGGTAGTGTACATGCCACAAAGTAATACAATATTTACAAGTAATACAGAGTAGCCTAGTCTAGATTTGTTTAGATGTAATCATTCTAGGATTGACGGTTGAGAATGTATGAGATATTTAATGTAAACTGGTGCTCACACACGTGTAGTTACCATAACAGTCCTGCTGTATGAGAGCAATGTTAGATAGAGCTGGGCTGAAATGCTGATGTTCTTGTTTGTGCAGGAAGCTTGATCTGAGGCTGTAATTGGATTGCTGTAGCCATAAGCATGCTGCTCACTGTTCATTATCTGGACGTTAGAGCTGAAAGCTTTCAGGTCTTAAAGCAGCAGCTCAGTCAAAAAGCTGATGTTGCTAACAATGTAATTAAAGGAAATTAGCATTGTGTGAATGACATCATGCTTTTTTCCTTTAATTTCATTGTTTGCTTGTTTGCACAATTTTGTTTTCCTTTCTAGCTTGCTGATATCGCAGACAGCAAAGATCAGGTGTTTCCCGTGCTAGATGGATTCCACGCCCTCAAGTCTATTGTGAATTCTGTAAGACAAAAGCACTTTTACCGTTCATGTCGTTAAATTTTGGAATTAATTCATGTGCATGTTGCAGTCTAACAATATTTAATATCCTTTGCAGATTTTAAAGAAGTCATGCATAGAGATTTTTAACGTTGAGCCCTCCAGCATTTGTGTGAATGGTATGTTGTGCAAAATTCTGGAAATTGATGTGAATAATAAAAAAATTGGCCTTTGGTTTGTTTCAATTTAGCAACACATACTCGCTTCTGTTTTAGAGTCATTCAACATTGTTCTAAGAGGAAGGGGTTTCACTCAGGGACGGGGCTCGGAGGGTGTGGTCTGCACGCTCTCTGTAAATCAAGGAGAAACTTACAGTAAGTCAGTCCACACACCCCATGTTAAAGCTCACAGCTGTCGTAGGCCAGATTTAATGCAATGCCACCAGCGGGTCAGACTTCAGCTGTGAGGATGCTCTTAATATAGAAGGATCTGTAATTTGCCCTGGTTCACTGTAATTTGGTTACGGCAGGAAGAAGCATGGAAGACCACAGTCGTGTCATTATCCCTTAACAAACAGGATCTCAAGACATATGCAGCCACAAATAAAACCAGCTCAGGGCCCAGTTTGCCTAAAGTGCTATAGCTTAACAATTTAAGAGGGTTTAAAGGGCTTATAAATTTAAATTTTTTTCAAATAAGCTTTATATACTATGTGAACAGCTTTAAACCATTCTGTTTGTTTTCCAGTCAATACAGTCCATATTGAACTGTGCAAAAGTCAGAGCACCACCATTAATTTATTTAATTTCCAGTCAAAACAGCTAATAATCATAATTACAGGAAAAATATATGTATTTTAACAGAAAGTCTCAACAACAAAATTTATATCATGCATAATTTTTCAGTATTTTTTCTTCTAAAGTTAAATTGTAAAACACAATCAATGATGTTGAGGTCTGGACTCTGGAGTGGTCAGTCCATTGTTCAGCTTCTTTGTTTGATGTGTGTGTCTCCTTTTCTCAGTGAGGCTTCTTGACTGCTACACACCCTTTCAGACCCATAGCGCTCAGTTGTCTTCTCACAGTGGGAGGATGGACAGAAACACCTGTGGATTTTTTCAGATCTGAAGCAGCTTGATTTTCTCCTTTCTCTCAGAGATGAAAGCTTTATCTGATGGGGACAGTGCTGGTGGTCTTGCAGGTGGTTGTTAGGAATCACATTTTCTCTGTAGCCTTTAATCAGTGTTTTTTCAAGTTTTGGAAACTCCTGTTTTTTACTTGTACCTGATCAAAATTAAATCAATAAGAGCGGTCTCTGACTTTTGCACAGCTCTGTATATGAAGTTGTGATGTTGCATCCATGAACACATTTACATATGAACTCCAATTCAGCCTACAGCAGTTTTGCTCCGGCCATTTACGTTGAAGTGACATGAAATGTTGTTCCTGCAGATGTAATAACGCGATTAAATGGTGTACTGTTCCTGGCTGTCCGGGGGAAAATGTGTCATTAAAGACTTCCAAAGGACCTACATATCCGAAAGACGTTTTTTCAACATTCCTAAGTATTTCAGTATGAACTTGACAGTTTGCTCCATACATTTTGACTACTTTTTGAACTGCCAGTTACTACAGATGTCAGCCAGTCAGAATATATGTCATTTACATATATCAGTCACAGTAACAAAAACAGCTTGTTTAATTCTTAAGGGATAATGGTAGAAATGAACTGTTTTTTCCTTTTATAACACCAAACAAACATAATAAAAGAAATAATATCCCCTTAAAGTTGTAGTGACTGATGTGGTATCTGTATGCTGTGACTGTTTTGGAAACTGAACCTTGCATTAGCCAGCACGGAAACTGGCCTGTGTACTGCCCCAGTGTTTAGAAGAGTTAATGGTATCACATTATTAAATGAAAGCACTGTGCCTGAGTGGGTTTGGCAGTATACAGTGATCTCATGCCGTCATCTCTTCCTCTTAGATGAAAAGCCGACCATTGTGAAGGACGGTTATGTGCTGTGTCCGGCTCCAGTGTTGACCGAAGTTGGACAGTGAGTGTCATTCTTCCTGCTGCTGTTTTAGAACACAGGCTGGCCATTAACAGAGCTACAGCTGTTAGGAGTTGGCTGGCAAACAGATTGCGAGACATCATGGGTTCCTCTTGACTTGTGTTTGGGTTTCTGCTTGTAGCCATGAGACCACTGATAAGGAGTGGTAGCACACGATAACAAAGGGCTGAGTAGAGTGAAGGGTGTATGTGTGTGTGTTTGTGTTGCGTCAGTGCATTTTTGTTTGCCATTGCATAGTGCCTGACCTTTAAAAGCTCTGCCTGAGAGATAGAAACTCAGAGTGACCCAGTTAAACCTTTCTGTTGATCTCTCTTTGAGCTATTTGGAAATGGATGAAATCAGTTTTACTACAAACCTGTCTCTCTTCTTTTTTTCATTCTGAATCTTCTGTCTTAATGAAAGGACTGTTGTTGCTCACCAGGATGCATTTGCAGGATAGCTTTATTAGAGTCCAACACTCACAGGCAGGGGTCAAAACACAGAAAAACCAAACAAAGGAAGTGGTTTAGAAGGCTCCTGCACAAGGGAAAGCTTCGCAAAGCAAACCGGGGGTATAAATGCTTAAGATAATGAAGCCAGAAATAGCTGCAGGTATGTATGATCATGAGTAAGCAGAGCCAGAGTGGAGCTGGAGTGAGCTAATCCATGTGGGGCAAGTCCAACTCCCAAAACATGAAACCAAGTGCAGGCCTGGACCATTGGGAAGCACAGTCAAGACAGGTACTACTTCCAGAGGGGGACACAGTCCAGCAAAGGGGTCCATGGAATGGAAACGGGGGCTGGCCCAACAACAGAGACGGGAGCATACGGAACAGTAGGTAACTAGGCAGAGGTGTACAGGACAGCAGGCAGCTGGACAGGAGTGGACGAGACAGCAGGCAGCTGGACTGGAGTGGCTGAGACAGCAGGCAACTGGACTGGAGTGGATGGGACCATTTAGCAAAGGACTTGGTGGCCAGCGGGTCAGGCTCCTGCTTGTTGGTGCTCTCCAGAGCATTGGGCTGTGCTGTGGGACCAGACCCCTGCTTTCTGGCGCTGTGAAGACTATAAAAACTACACAAGCAGCAGATTCATACTGGATTGCAACCACTCCATAATTATTACTATAAGACTGTAAAAACTACACACGCTGCAGATTCGTACTGGATTAAAATCGTTCCATAATTATTACTGTTAGACTGTAAAAACCACACACTGCAGATTCATACTGGATTAAAATCGTTCCATAATTATTACTGTCAGACTGTAAAAACCACACACTGCAGATTCATACTGGATTAAAATCGCTCCATAATTATTACTGTCAGACCTTAAAAACCACACACGCTGCAGATTCATACTGGATTAAAATCGCTCCATAATTATTACTGTCAGACTGTAAAAACCACACACACTGCAGATTCATACTGGATTAAAATCGCTCCATAATTATTACTGTCAGACCTTAAAAACCACACACGCTGCCGATTCATACTGGATTAAAATCGCTCCATAATTATTACTGTCAGACCTTAAAAACCACACACACTGCAGATTCATACTGGATTAAAATCGCTCCATAATTATTACTGTCAGACCTTAAAAACCACACACGCTGCCGATTCATACTGGATTAAAATCGCTCCATAATTATTACTGTCAGACCTTAAAAACCACACACACTGCAGATTCATACTGGATTAAAATCGCTCCATAATTATTACTGTCAGACCTTAAAAACCACACACGCTGCCGATTCATACTGGATTAAAATCGCTCCATAATTATTACTTCAGACTTAAAACCCACTGCGATTCATACTGATTAAAACCTTCACAATTATTACTGTCAGACCTTAAAACCCACACACGCTGCAGATTCATACTGGATTAAAATCGCTCCATAATTATTACTGTCAGACCTTAAAAACCACACACGCTGCAGATTCATACTGGATTAAAATCGCTCCATAATTATTACTGTCAGACCTTAAAAACCACACACGCTGCAGATTCATACTGGATTAAAACGCTCCATAATTATTACTGTCAGGACCTTAAAAACCACACACACTGCAGATTCATACTGGATTAAAATCGCTCCATAATTATTACTGTCAGACCTTAAAAAACCACACACGCTGCAGATTCATACTGGATTAAAATCGCTCCATAATTATTACTGTCAGACTATAAAAACCACACACGCTGCAGATTCATACTGGATTAAAATCGCTCACAATTATTACTGTCAGACCTTAAAAACCACACACGCTGCAGATTCATACTGGATTAAAATCGCTCCATAATTATTACTATCAGACCTTAAAACCCACACACACTGCAGATTCATACTGGATTAAAATCGCTCCATAATTATTACTGTCAGACTGTAAAAACCACACACGCTGCAGATTCATACTGGATTAAAATCTGCTCCATAATTATTACTGTCGGACTGTAAAAAACCACACACGCTGCAGATTCATACTGGATTAAAATTGCTCCATAATTATTACTGTCAGACCTTAAAAAACCACACACACTGCAGATTCATACTGGATTAAAATCGCTCCATAATTATTACTGTCAGACTTTAAAAACCACACACGCTGCCGATTCATACTGGATTAAAATCGCTCCATAATTATTACTGTCAGACCTTAAAAACCACACACGCTGCCGATTCATACTGGATTAAAATCGCTCCATAATTATTACTGTCAGACCTTAAAAACCACACACGCTGCCGATTCATACTGGATTAAAATCGCTCCATAATTATTACTGTCAGACTATAAAAACCTCATGCTGCCGATTCATACTAGATTAAAACCGCTTCACAATTATTACTGTCAGACCTTAAAAACCACACACGCTGCAGATTCATACTGGATTAAAATCGCTCCATAATTATTACTGTCAGACCTTAAAAACCACACACGCTGCAGATTCATACTGGATTAAAATCGCTCCATAATTATTACTGTCAGACTGTAAAAACCACACACGCTGCAGATTCATACTGGATTAAAACTGCTCCACAATTATTACTGTCGGACTGTAAAAACCACACACGCTGCAGATTCATACTGGATTAAAATTGCTCCATAATTATTACTGTCAGACCTTAAAAAACCACACACGCTGCAGATTCATACTGGATTAAAATCGCTCCATAATTATTACTGTCAGACTGTAAAAACCACACACACTGCAGATTCATACTGGATTAAAATCGCTCCATAATTATTACTGTCAGACCTTAAAAACCACACACGCTGCCGATTCATACTGGATTAAAATCGCTCCATAATTATTACTGTCAGACCTTAAAAACCACACACACTGCAGATTCATACTGGATTAAAATCGCTCCATAATTATTACTGTCAGACCTTAAAAACCACACATGCTGCCGATTCATACTGGATTAAAATCGCTCCATAATTATTACTGTCAGACTATAAAAACCTCATGCTGCCGATTCATACTAGATTAAAACCGCTTCACAATTATTACTGTCAGACCTTAAAAACCACACACGCTGCCAATTCATACTGGATTAAAACTGCTCCACAATTATTACTGTCGGACTGTAAAAACCACACACGCTGCCGATTCATACTGGATTAAAATCTCTCCACAATTATTACTGTCAAACTGTAAAACTACACATGCTGCAGATTCATACTGGATTAAAACCACTCCACAAATATTATTGTCAGACTGTATAAACTAAATATGATTCATACTGGATTAAAGTCACATATCTTTTCAGTAATCATTGAAATTATAGTACCCTCCAAGGTAAAACGAATCCAGCTACAGTAGGGCTTAGAATCAATTAAATAAGCTTTGTCATAAAACATGAATATATACATGTATTCTTTAGACCAGGGTGTTAAAACCAGTGTTCTCTCTTTCAACAGCTCAGTTGAAGTGCTGATTAGCTTCAATCATGGTCAGTCCTATATTTCGAGTCCAATCACAATATACGCCACCACGTGTGTAAGTATGATGCAGTCAGTGTATCAACAGTTCCCACTATTACCAATTCCTCAGTTTATTTTTAGTAAATTAGTAACAGTTAATCACAACAGTGAAGCAAATTTACTTGATTTTCCACATGAATAAAATGTTACATCAATACAGACTTGCTTTTGACAGTAATTTGGTTGATGTAATATATTGTATTTATATGGAAATGATGTACACATTTAAATCAAGTCAATTCAATATGTTTTTTTCCTGTGGCCATATGTTCTCAGCATGCAACATTTACTTTATCTGTAATCTTGGGATGTAATTATGCATTATGTAGTTAATAGCTATTTAAATACAACTATGCTCTTTGTTGTTTTTTTTTTTGACAGTTATTTTGACAGCAGTTAATGTGTAAGAAGCTATATGTGAAAACATGTTGAGCACAAACATATATTTGTTATTTACCTGTGCATGTGTTCACTATGACAGTCTAACGGGATTGTGGTGGCTGTGGTTCTCCTGGTTCTTCTGCTGCTGGTGGGTCTGGCTCTGCTCTGGTGGTTCTGGCCAATCTGCTGTACTGTGGTGAGTCAATGTCCATCACACCATACGGGCTACACTTCATAACAACTACTGGCAGAACCAGCTAAATTAGATGTTTGTCCATTTCACAGGTCATTCGAGATCCTCCTCCGTCTCGACCTCCTCCCCCACGTCCAGTGCCTGTAAGTAGACTGTAGTTCATATAAGTATTTATGAAAGAATCATCAGGTAATTGCTGATATGCTATCAAATGTGGATTTGATGCATGTGTAATCTTGTGTAATCTCCATAGAAAAGCACTGACCACTAGAATAGGATGCTATGGAGGTGCCAAGCATTGGCTAAAAGGGTATAAAGCCCCCCAGTATTGGGCTCAGGAACAATGGAACTGTGTTCTTTGGAGTAATGGAGTTCCATCCATTACCTTTGGGATGAGTGGGGGTGATCCAGAGCTAATCATCCAACATCAGTACCTGACCTCACTAATGCTCTTGTGAATCAAATTCTCACAGCAGTGTTCTAGCATCTTGTGGCTGTTACTGCACCAAAAGGAGGGGGGCAAAAAACTCCTTGATTTCAGAGGAAACGCTTCATCCCATTGTTTTAGTTCAGATTTCTTCAGCTTCTTGTGTTTCTTCCACAGGAACCAGAGGAGGACCCACTGCCTAAGAAGAAGTGGCCCACCGTGGATGCCTCCTACTATGGAGGGAGGGGTGCAGGTGGGATCAAACGAATGGAGGTATGTTGGAAATGAAAAAAATACATTCATCATTCATCAAAAGTGTTTTTTGGTTTAAAAGATGTCAACATATCTGATGAAACATTGTGGTTGATTTATGGTTTCCACTCTTTCAGCATTGTTGTCATTCGCTTTGCTTAAAAGATTGTTTCCCAGTGCTGGTCTTGAAGAATCCCAGCTCTGATAAATGCCTTATTGATGAAATGTTGAGCTGAGTCACATGCAAAGCATATAAAGTATGCATGGCAGGACTCCAGAGAACAGGGAAGCACTACCCTAATGGGGTTCTGCTTTCTGCAGGTTCGCTGGGGAGAGAAAGGCTCCACTGAAGAAGGAGCACGGCTGGAGAAAGCCAAAAACGCTGTAGTCAAAATGCCAGAGGAGGAGCTGGAGGAGCCCATAATTAGAGCTCCTTCTAGACCACCACCTCCCTATCGCCCCCCAACACCATCAAAATGGTACACCCCAATTAAGGTGAGTCTTACCTGTATGTTTCTGTCAGGTTTCCTTTTAACCGTTAACCGCAATTAGACATACATTACATACAAAGAGATGATTTTGCAAAAAATCTAATTTACATAATTTCAGAATGGCACGATTTCCCAGTCAGCCAAAAGTGTTTTATATATAAAAACAGAAAAAAAGTATTATTGTGGCATGTGCATAAGTTTGGATAGCCAGTTGTAAAGGCTCAGAATTTTTTAGGACAGGTTAGGCAGGTCGAGAATTGTCACTAGGAACTATCAGCTCATGACAGTTCCACAGTATAATACATTCTCTAACACTTCAAACCTTGTGCTAACACTCAACAACCTTGGGCTCCTCTAAGCAGCAGTGTAAGGTAATTTGTAATTTGTACCAAAGTAAAGCAAGGGAAGGCTATAAAAAGATAAGAAAGTATTTCGAGCTTGCAGTTTTCACTGTCCAAAATGTCATTAAACATGGCAGTTAAAGGCAACTGTGCAAGGCAAAGCAAGATCTGAAAGATGAAGGAAACACCTTGCAAACTGCTAAGCATGGGTGTGGATATATTATGCTTTAGGCTTGTGTAGCAGCTAGTGGCACAGGAAGCAAAGCACATAGAGATGAAAGAATGGATTCCACTAAATTCTAGAAGCAAATGTGATACAGACAATCAAGAAACTGAGACTGGAAAGAGGTTATGTTTACTTCTTTTCACTACAAAATTGAATAAAATATGTAATTTGGCCTGGGTGCCTAAACTGTTGTATACAACTGTATGCAATACAGTGTCAGAAACCATATAAGCAAGAGATTACTTAACAACTGGGCACGGTTTGAGGCAAGTGTGTGACTTTAGGCATCTATTTTAAACAATTCTAAAATGTTAACATAAGCTTCCATCACATAGCTACATTAGCCTTACAGCTCCAGTGCAAAACAAATAAAGCACTTCAGACACCAAGCATGTCTTGGCTGACTGAGTACATTTGGGGTAAGGAGGGAATTGTGTAAATGTGATTTTTATCCCCGAACTATCACTTTAAAATAACACCAGAAATCTGTTTGTGAATGTGGTTGCTGCCTTACTGTTTTTTTCTGTTAATGTTGTGCATTCAGGGACGTTTCGATGCTTTGTCGGCGTTACTACGGCGACAGTATAACCGAGTGGCTATCATGAGACCCACAGCAGATGACAAGGTATGATACTGTTTTGGAGGCTGAAATGTATGACTGCTGTTAAGGGGGAAAAACACAGCAGAACTTAACTGAACTTGGATCAAGACTCTGGAACTTGATGTTTCTCTCAGAAATTAGATGATTGGCCTGCTGACAAAACATCTACTAAAAAAGGATCGCTATTGTTTCCTGATAGTGAAAGCATGTTGTGTGTTTGGGCTTCTGATAAATAAGGATGTAATGCGTCTAATGGAGACCAGTCATTGTGTTAATGGGTCAGTGTTTGGTGTGGCTGTCCAAACAGAGACTCTTCAGTTTATTAGAACCAATAAAAATGAACACACACACGTTCATTTTTATGCTGGGTGTGGCTGTTAGGCTCTTAGGCTACACTCGTCAGTAGAGATTCATCACTATTAGCATCATTAAGTCAAGTGCTGGAGTCTGGCTGTCGAGATTCTGGCTGTTAGAAACGAGACTCTGCCCCGACATCTCAGAGAGGAGAGTGACCTCTGACCACACACTGACCTGACTGTCATTCTGTTTGGGCCTCAGTGGAGTGATCATATGGAGTCATGACTAACACTACAGCTAAATGGATCACATTTACCTTATGTTTTACACATAAAATCTCCTACTTAATTTTGTTAACCTCCTTGGATATATGTATGTAAATTACCCTAATAATTACACTGTTAGAAATAAAGAGTCTGTGTAGGGACATTTTTCGATCATTAAGTTACAAACAACATAAATGCGCCCTCAAATGTACAACAGTGGTTTTAAGGTCCAATTGTATGGCTTAAATAAGTTTTTTCCCAGGTGAAAAGTACATATGTGTACCGTTTCATAACCTAATATTTTACAGAAGAAGAATAAAATGAAAAGCCTGGAGATGAGACGGGGTGTGTGGAGTCACCACAACTTAGAAAATATAATTTCAATGGATTATGGTACAATTATGTTCCCTGACTAAAGGTACCGAGATGTACCCTTGAGGGAACCACCCCAGTGACAGTTTTGTCCCTTTTTTTCTGAGAGTGTAGGATAATACAGTGAAATCTTAACTATAAAACAGCTCCAGTCCTAAAATCTGATTGACTGAGCTACATTTGAAGCTGTTACAGTCATGTCAAAAGTTTATAAACATTTAGTGTTCAGATGATGATGAGTCTTTTTAACGTTTTTGCCAGAGTATCTTTTGGGGTAACAAAATCAATATTGTGGCATCATGACAACCCTACATGGAAGGACTATTATGTTGTAGCCTATTGTTAATGAACCACATTGCTTGGTGTAGAATTGTTTGTTGCATATATATATATATATATATATATATATATACATATATATATATATATATATATATATATATATATATATATATATATATATATATATATATATTAAGGATTAAAAAAAATCTGATTAAATAGTTAAGTTGTAAACAAAGTTATTCAGAGTGATTTGATGAATGATGCTCCGTTCTAGAGAAAGAGAGTCAGATTTGTTAACAATGGTGGTGTTAAGGACCACACGTCTTAAGAGTTTGGCTCTTAAAGCTCAAAGAAAGTTGTTACATGATGTTCATGAATGCAATGTACTGGCTGATGCTTTAGACATTGTTTTGCAGTACCTTTAAAATAAGATTTTGGCTTTGAATGTATTATTTTTTATATTTAAATTCAATTTTAAAAATTGGTGGTAAAGTCACTAAAAAGCACAGCCTCTCATGGCTTGTTGCTTTATTATAGGTGATCATACACCTGCTTCAGTTTTGTTTGTTCATAAAAGATAGCTCATAATGACAGGTTTTACACCAGAGCAAGTGAAGTCTTTGTTTCTCGACAATACCTGCTATGTTACGCTATTCAAAATGCCTGTTTTATTTATCATGCCTGATTTAGCTTTAAGACAGTGGCTTCCTCGATGCCCATTAGAATCAAAGCTCCCTCAATTGAGTTCAATTATTCCAAATTATCGTAAACGTCAGTGTGATGAAGCATGTGAGCATGTGAGAGTAATTCCTTTTGACCATATGACGTGCCTTTGTACAACCTGATGTGAACGAATGAGTGCCATCCGTTTAGTATGATTGTGATGTGCACTAGCAAATGCATGGTGGGACAGGACATTTTACCGGTCTCTAAATGAGGGCACTAGCAGCTCTAAATGGGAGAGATGCTGTCATATTTTTGTATTTATATGATTTAATGAGGACTGCAGAGCAAAGTGAGTGGTGAAGATAATTATCTGAAGCACCTCAGGAATGGTTGACCATTAAAGGGTCCATATCCTACGTGGTTTTGTATTTTAATTCTTCCCTTGAGGCCAAATTGTGGTTATATGTATCAAGAATGGTCAGAACTGATTTTCACATGATCACTTTCCAACCTCTCCTCACCCCTTAGAGTTATTCAGATTGTTTTTGTTACTGCACCTTAACGACTTATATATGTAAATGAGCCCTGTTCTGATTGGTTGCCTAATTCAAAAAGCACTCATAGCTGAAACACTCTTTATAACTCTTTTATTTAAAAAAAATGAAGGAAACCATTTTTCTGTGATACAGACCCTTTAAATGAATATAGCATCATTTTAATTGCCGTTATGTTTGTGTTTCAGGGGCGCTGCATCAAGTTCAAGAGGATTCAGAGCTATTAGGCCAACCACTGTGTGTCTTTCTCAAGTGTCTGCTTTTGAATTTGTGCACACAATTTTTGGACGTTGATTGTGCTTTTGGATGTGCACTAGTATTTTTATAAACATATTTTTGGCACATTGGCTGATGTTTTTCTAATGACTAACTTTTTTTCAAGCTACCGTTTGATATGCTGGTCCTTTATGCTGATTTTGCCTGTTGTGCCATAGATTTATGTGCATTTAAGTATGTGAGGATATTGAGTGTATGAGAGAGAGGGGCGTCAGTGACTGGAGGGTCTGACACAAAAGCAGCTGTGACCCAGAATGGCAGAATGTTGGTTCTTGCGTACTAGAATGCATACTTGCAGTACTGTTTAACATTTCAGAACTGATCTTTCGATCATCTAACAAGCAAATTAATAGTGATTTTCCACAGTTTTAGCAAGAACATGTAGCATTTATAATTTGAATTCAGCATTTGTTGAGAAAAATAAGCACTGATATATCTATAAGTGGATTTTAAAAGTGGATTGTAAATGTTGTGTCCTATTGCAAATGCACTGTTGAATGTCCCAAGCAAACAGTGAGTTCATTATTCCCTGATTGTAAAGAATTTCCTGTGCCACAATCACAGTGCCCTGGATGCTCTGTACATGAAGTGAAAGGCCATAAACAGACGTAACAATACAGTAATCTCATGTCTCTAAATCTGCAGACGCAGTAGTATTACTGATTAATCTCCTGACCACTGCTGACCATGATTTCTGTAATTAAATAAAATATTTTTTTTTTTTAATTGTATCTGTCTGGATAAATGAAAAGTCCTACATCCTCTTAGTTATAAGCCTGTAAGGGATGTTTCATGTTACTGCAAAGGAAAACAGAACTCTTATTTTGAAGTATGCTACAGTAATGCTACAGATGCTGCAGTACACGTTGAATGATGAAGCTTCTGAGCACATAAGCGTTATGAAGAGCTTAGGCTTAAAAAAAAGGAAAAAACAGGCAATTTCTGACCTTAGCAAACACAGGCCATGGTAAAACAATACACAAATGTGGACTACAACTTAACTAAACTAACTAACTAAAGTGACTAGAATCAGAAAAATGTTTTTGTATTCATATTCCAAGCTTAGCTGGATGTTTAAACAGCAGATTTAATCACAGATACTGATTTTAGGATTTTTTGTGTGACAGTAAACAAACATACATTAGAAGAGGCCACAATGGAAAGCTGTTTCACTGAGAATAAAAATGGAATGTTCTAATTAAGCAATAGAACACAAGAAGGCGTGTGTTATCGCGAAATAACATCACAGCCGTGATGCATTTAATATTTAATGTTCGCAGTTCCTTCCGCCAAATTATAGTTCCTTAACAAGCAGCTTGTTGCTACGTCAGAGTAACGAGCTCCGCTCACTCACTGCACAGCCGGCAGTTCGTTCTTCAGCTTCTTACTCAGACCAACTGTCAGTTTCGGAGTCTGACCAAATCGGCTGTCGGTCAAATGTGATCTTAAAAGTGCCCATTTTCTGTTCGTTCGCAAAGTAAGAAGTAAAAACGTTCAAAATCCTTGAGCGTCTCCTGTAGCTGTCAAAGTCAATGCTTAGCAACGGCGTCTCAGCGGAGTGATATAGTGTTTGTGAAAAAACTGACGTTATGGCGAAATATCAGCACTGTTAGAACGCTTCTCAACCAATCAGCTTGCGTGGCCGGAACTAACTGTTGTATAATTCTAAATATTCCATATTTGACCTGATTTCTTTTTTGTGACATTTTAATTGTTGGATTCAGTTCTTACATAAAAATAGAAGGCTTTACTTTCACTCATTTTTTACGTGAAGCACTTAAATTTTCAAAATGTTACTTTTACTTTTTAAAAACGAATTAAAAAATCCTTTCCTATACAATGAATTGGGAAATCCATGAATTCTTACCAGTGATATCTGAAATCGTGCATTAAAATATAATTTCTTCAACACTTTTAAAGAGATGGCTCTTCAAGAGTTCTTTAGTAAAGACAATGGTTATATTTAGAACCATGAGTTCTGTATAGAACCACTGCATGCTTGAATGGTTCTGCTATATTGTTTCAAGCTTAACCTTGTAACAGTAGAAGAACGCTTTTTGGTGCTATATAGAACTATATATAACACATTCTCCATCAATCTGAAGAACTATTTTTAGCATGCAAAGAACCATTTAAGCAGGCAAATGGTTCTTTGAGTGTTCATGGTTCTTGTAAAAGTAGAATTTTGACGTGTTAGAATTAGATTTTTTCCATGCTGGTTATCATTTGTCATTGTTAACTGGTATTAACATTTGTACCACTAAAATTAAGTATTGTAGTATGTGGACTAAAAACAGCATGATTATTTGTGTGGATGTATGTATTGTCTTTTCATTTGAATAGGTCCAATGTACATCTGTATGTTTAATTCTTCCAAGATGTATTTGGAGCTGTACATTTACCCATGTGTATGATTGTTTAAATATAAAATACGAAAAAAACAAACCAAACCAAAACAAACAAACAAACAAACAAAAAACCCCACAGCACTAGCACTGGGGCCTCGGACGTTTCGCCGTTTGTCGCAGGATTTCTGTGTCATACACCAAACCCCTGGCTGCCTCTTCGACGCGGCAGCATTAATGTGATGCTAACAATAATGATCAATTAAAAATCAAATATCTGCGAATATGTGAAGCTCTATAAACGATGTATCGGGGTCGATACCTTAAGGTGAGTTGTCTGGTCTTGTTCGAGTGTTTTTATTCAAGCGAACCTTTATAAACGTTTCTTAGAAATGGTGTTAGACGAGGCTGAAGTTGGCTTTCTGTTCGCCAGCTTCTTTTTAAAATTTTCCCGTTCCACCTTAAATGGTGCAGCTGTTATTATTGTAACGTCTCAGACGCCATAATGCAACTGCTGCACCATTTAAGGTGGACCTGAAAAACACTGTACAAAATTCCTATTCGCAAGCTTCTTGTTTGAATTTTCCCATTCCACCTTAAACGGTGCAGCAGTTATTATAACGCCTCAGAAGCCGGAATGTGACTGCTGCACGATTTAAGGTGGAACGGGAAGACTCGGAACGAGAAGCTGGCGAATAGGAAGCGGACTTTAGCTTCGTTGTTGTTAGCGTGTTAGCTAACGGTAGCTGGTGTTAGCCGGTGTTATCCTATATCTTCATGTTAGTGGCGGTGAATACTTTAATTATCCACACTAAATATCGCGAAGAATAAAAGTATTCAATACTGTTCGCCATTTTTGTTTTTGTTTACAGATGTGCTTTCAAATTCCCGGGTGCTGTTTTCTAACAGCTAAACAGTCGAATATGAATATTTTAGCATTACTTAAGCATGAAAATATACCTGAAAATACTTTATAGGGTTTTTTTTTGCACCGCAGCAACCCAAATATTTGGGTTACAGTGACCAGACCTGTAAAATGAGTTTCATACTGTGTCTAGAAGTGTTCTGGCGGGCATCTCTTCTAACCACTGAATTCGGCTACTTTACAGGGGAACTCCACCAAAAAATTGATGCATGATTTAGTCGCTTTAGTCATTTAGAGAGGTTAGATGTGAAATGTGTATTTGTAGGCTCTGATTGTCTTTACAGTCGTGGTGATAGAAACCAGCTGTCACAGTATCTACAGCTTAAATATAGACATTTTATTTACTATCCAAAACCACCAGTAAACATCCACGTGTCTTCCCAATGTTTGTTGTGTTTATGGTGAAATAGTAGTGAATTACAATTTGCCTTGCAGCTCCCTGCATGTACCCCTTCACTATTAATGTAGTTACAGATTCATTTAGATCAAAACCTTTTTGTTAAACAATGTAACCAGCATCAGGCAGTGTATTCATAAGCATTTCATATAATACATAGAGGCATTAAACTCTTCAGACGTCTGGTTCCTATCACCACCATTATGTACAATTATGAGTTTAAGTTTCTCTAGAACAGAGAATTTCACGTCAGACCATTCTGAATGATTTTGTTTAAATCTTAACTATTTCATTTCCCTTTAAGGTGCACCCTTTGACACCATGTCACCATGCCCAATGCCAAGTGTCAGCTGTAAAGCCCCCCAGCATTGAGCTCCAGAGCAGTAAAACATTCTCTGGAGTGATGGAGCTCCATCCAAAACCTTTGGGATTAGTTGGAGATCCAAAGCTGATCATCCAACGTCAGTAGCTAACCTCACTAATGCTTATGTGGCCGAATGCAATCAAATCCAGTGCTGTTCCAATATCTAGAGTAAAGCCTTCACAGAAGAGTAGAGGCTGTTACCGAGCAAAGGAGCAGCAAACTCCCTATTAATAACTTTGAATTCAGAAGAAACGCTGGATGAGCAGGTGTCTACAAACTTTTATACAGTCTTTTTGAACACATTTGTGATAAGGTGTATCATCTAATAGACAGCCAGCTAGCAAAAGTGAAAGGCCAAATCCACTAAAATGTCTAATCAGCCTGCCTTATAGATCTGTTAATGTCTCTGATGTTTCCTCCACAGTGCTCCTGTAGGCCAGCTGCAGCCAGATAAACCAGGATGCCTCAAAAGATGCTGAAGAGTGCCCATTACATTGAGCTGGGCAGCTACCAGTACTGGCCAGTTCTCGTGCCAAGAGGAATCCGATTGTACACTTACGAACAGATCCCTGTGTTTCTGAAGGAGAACCCGTACATTACGGATGGATACAGAGCACACCTGCCCTCTAAACTGTGTCTGAAAAGGTATGTTTGTTCGGTTTGCTGAAAGTATGCAGACGTGACCCTTAAAGGTACTGAACTGTGGATTTTTTATCCTTGTAGCATGTTCATTCTGTCCAATGAGACGGTGAATATCTGGAGTCATCTGCTGGGCTTTCTGCTGTTTTTCTTGCTGGGTGTGAATGACATGTCCTCAGTGCTGCCGGCCGCAGGTGCTTCCAGAGAGGACTATGTCATCTACTCTATTGGGCTGTTTTGCTTTCAGGTTAGTACACAAACATTCATACTTATTACGTAATAATAATATATCCCATATATATTATACAGTTGTATGCAAAAATGTCAAATTACACGTTTTGTTGATTTTCTAGATGAAATTAAGTTAACACATCCTCTACAGAGAACACTTTTCTGCAGTTTTAAATTATTACTTTATATTTTATAATTACTGCTTATTTGCTGAATTTATCATATTGGGAAATAACTAAAACATTAAATATATGGTATGCCACAGTTTTTTTCAGACTTGAGTTTTTTTAACACTGAATGTAGTGCATATACATTGTTAAAATTCTAAAACGTTCACTCTCCAATTCAGATAGTTCATATATGGAAACTAACTAGCCAGTTTCCAAGTGTATTTTTGTGATTTAACAATATACTGTATATATTTATGTATGTATGTATGTGTGTATGTATTGCGTCTGAACAATGTATATGTTTTAAGCTAGTTGATAGTGCTGTCGCAAATATAACACAATTGCCTAATTGCAGTCATGTAAATGAAAGAAAGCAGGAAATGTGTTCTTTGAGACTTCATGGGGCTTCAAAAACCAAAAAGTTCTAACTTGGTGCTCTAACATGTTTATAGAGCAGCATTTAGTAATTTCTTTATTTGTTAGATATTTAGCTACTTCTGTACTTCTGCTACTTGCTAGCAAGTAAGGTGGCTAGTTGCCTAATTCGGCCGCTTTGTGGTTGTATTTCAATACTTGCGAACAATGATCGAGACAATTAAATCATTAACTGCAGTTATTTATTGCAACTGACAATGAAATGACAATTAATCGTCAGATAAAATTTCATGATTGTGACAGCCCTACTTGTTGACAAAACTGGTGTATGTTTGTGTTCTGTTTAGGTTTGCATGTTGTGCTCTGTGGGCTATCACCTTTTCTGCTGTCATCGCTCAGAGAAGACCAGTCGCCGCTGGCTTTCACTGGACTATGCTGGGATCTCTGTTGGCATCCTGGGCTGCTATGTCCCAGGGGTCTTCTATGCCTTCTACTGCAACAGTGTATGACACACATTTATCAGAATAAAACACCTACTCAGCAAAAATGTGTTTTTAGAGATTGCCAGACATGTTAAAGTTAAAATGATAAAAGTAAACAAATAAATTGAATGACGAGAGATAATTAGTTATAAAAACCTGTTTTTATAATTAAGTAGTTTGCTTGGTTAGAGGAACTGAAAGTCCAGGCTAGTGCTGAGTCACTCTAACCTTAACCACTGTGTCAGTTCTAAGAAACAGAGCACAGTTGTTTTTCAGCTGAAACAGTTGCTCCTGTTGTCTGTCTCGCACTACTTTGTATCCAGTTACATACACCAATGGAAAGTTGGCATCAGTATTTCAACAATATAAAATCAGTTTAGTTGTAGATAAAGTTATTCTAATATGTTAGCCCTGCATGACTCTACAGTTTTCATATAACTAGTAGGCAGCTTAGAATGTCAAAAAAGCTTATTGAATTTCCTGTGCTTCCTCTCGTTTCCCATTGCTCTCTTCTCAGTTCTGGCGGCAGGTCTACCTGGTGACAGTTCTTGCTCTGATTCTGGCCGTGTTCTCAGCTCAGATCCACCCACTCTACCACACGCAGGAGTGGAAGACGCTGCGCTCTGCCATCTTCTGCTCTGTGGCGGGCTATGGCATCATCCCTGCCTGCCACTGGGTGTGGCTCAATGGAGGCTTCCACGCTGAGATTGTGCAGGTAAGCTTGGCTTTCATCCAAGTTTCAAATATAGAAACATTTAAAATAATTTAATAAAAATAATCATTTAATAATTCTTTACTCTATATAGGCATTTTTCCCACGTGTCATGGTCATGTATCTGCTTGCTGCTTCTGCCTTCCTGTTCTACATCAGTAAAGTCCCTGAACGCTACTTTCCAGGTAAACATTCATTAAAATCAAGCATTAATAACATTATATTTCCCATATTCTACATTTTTCTTGTATGCTATTTTTTTCCCTTTTTTTGCTATTTTTTTCAAATAACATTTATGTGGTTCTATGTACCAAAAACAGTGCTTATTCATTTTTACATGACCATTTTCCAACCTCTCTTTATCAAGCAGATTGTTTCTGTTACTGTACTTTTAAGACGTATATACAGTCGTATGCCAAAGTTTGGACACCCCAGGGTAAATTAGATATTTTGTTGTTCTTCTAAGTGAAAATAAATGAACACATCCTCTACAGAGAACATGCTTCTGCACTTTTTAATGCACAGTTGCTGTTTATTTGTTGAATTTAACACACTCAAATTGAAAAAGCTATTTTTCCAATATTATAAACTCACCAAGTAAATACAAATTGAATACTAAAATTTGCATAATAATAACATTTGCATAATACTATGCAGTATTTGAGTTTGTTCCCTGTGGAGGATATGCTGACTTATTTTCACTTAGAAAATCAACAATCAAACTTTTGCATACGACTGTACAGTATACATCATGTCTGCTCTGACTGGCTGCCCTGTCTTGTGTCTCATTGAAAAAGTCCAGGCTGAAAACACTCCGTACAAATTTAGCATAAATATAAGGATCAAAATGCTGTAGGCTCAGTAGGCAGGTAGGTTTTTTGTGACATCACAAAACCAATAAATTTTAAGCTGGCTGTTTTTGAATTTTAATATCCACAGATGGACTGAATGATTTTCGATCATTTCTGTTATTCTATTCATCATGAAATGTTCATAAGGTAGAAAGGGCAGCTGGTGTAAGAGCAAAGGTTTTGATATGACAATGATGCGTAATATAGATAATAACACCACGTTATTTGTGTTTGTAACAGGGCAGCTGAACTACCTAGGTGCCAGTCATCAGCTTTGGCATGTATTGGTGGTGCTGATGTTCTACTGGTGGCACCAAACTGCTGTCTACATCATGCACTACAGACACAGTCAGCCATGCCATGAGCACAGCAGCGGCAGCGTTGGCTAGTGGAGCTTTCACATCAGCTGGTCTACAGACTAGTAGGCGCTAGACACACCCCATCATTACTTCGGAATGAGCTAGAGCAGTGGTTCCTAGTCCAAGTCCTAAAGTAAAAACTGCACAGTTTAGTGTCTTTCCTGCTTAAACATAGCACTTTCTAATCGCCAGCTAATTCTAAATCTATTTATAAGCTGGGTTAGGTTATTAAAGCAGGGGCGACACTAAAAATATAATCATTTTTATTCATGCACAAACTGTACATCCAGTTTTCTGAGACTAGGAAACAGTTTTCTACCTCATCCCTGCTCTCAAGCTGCGTGGGGTAGAGTTGGATTTGGGATTAGAGCGTTGGATTTTCTGTTACAGACTAAATATAAGGCTTTTCAAGGACACACACAATCCAAAGCAGTACATTTGATTATTAAGGAGTAATCGTGTAGCCAGTATGAACGTATCATTCTAAGACTGCCTGTAAAACTTGTACCTTGACTTGAATGTGAAACTTTTTTAGGCATTCATCTGAGTGTGGGGAGTGCATAATATTCAGATTCTCAAATGTGTAAACTTTTTTAGTGACTTTTTGAACTGCAATTTCATGTCACGCTCTTTCCTTAATGGCATTAGCGTAGTTTTTTGGTACATTTCTAAACTCAGTTACATTGTCATTGCACTAGATTAAATAGGAATTCCACCCATTTTTTTCCAAAAGTTCTGCGTAATTTAGTCATTAAGATAATAACTAAAGTCATTGCCGACTCAGAATTGTTCACAGTGGCGATAATAGGAACCAGACTTCTGAAGAGTTTAATGCCAATGAAAGCTCTCTTGCGGATCGTTATTACATGAAATGGTTATGAATATGATGCCTGAGACATTGTTTACGATAGTTTGAGAGGATTTTGGCCTAAAACATATTTCTTAAAAAATCCATTCACGCAGGAGAGGTGCCTGCAGGGCGTTGTACAGCAAAATAATCTCTAAAGAAAACCTATTTTTCGGATTTCAGCATTCAGCTTTAATTCAGCATTATCAACAAGATGTGTGTAGGTTTTGGTGCTTTTGGAAAGTAAATAAACTTTGTGTTGTAGACTTTATGACCCCTGGTTCCTATCACCACCACTGTAAAGAAATCCCAGTCACTAAGTTCCATTACAATGAGCAACTTTACATCAGAGCACTGAATGACTGTCATTAACAGAAAGATTGAAAAATCAGTGAAGTTCACCTTTAAGCCAAATCTTAAACATTATACTGTCAGTAATTTGGCATTAAAAAACATTTTTAGTCAAGAACGTAAGTTATATCTGGAATACTAGCACAGTGGCGAGGAGGCACTTATAATCAGGGCTGCACCGATATGGGAATTGTGGTTTGATTTCCAATATTTTTCAAGCACATACCTGCCAATACATAAATATTTATAAAATGTTGGAATTGGGACTAGCTGCACCTGGCTTAGCATGGCAGAGAAATGTAACACTTGTATATAGAAGGTTATACATGCTGTAAAAAGAATAAAGTGCTAATTTTTTTTAGCACATTTGATATGATTCTAATATCATCATGCATCCCTACTTATAATGGTACAACACAACACAATTTCATTGTTTTAATGGTATTCTTGTGAATCAAGTTCCATGATTTTACGTACCTCTTATTTGCCTTCCGACACGAAACCTAAGGGTCCCTGTGCAATGATTATCTCAAAATGGGTCGATCAATCTCACAGCCTGAGCAAAATCGTAGTTTTTTTCTTTCCATTTTCTCTGCCATACGTGCCCATTGATTTACGATGTGAACTTTTTCAACTGAGCCTTTTATACATAGCACTGACAAAGTCTGGGTACTGCTGTTCTTTCCTCTGTTACTTTTCCTTGTTATTCTTTGATTTATCTTATGCTGAAACAAGTTGTGATGTTGACTGAATCATATAAAGTATTGCTAATGAATTTTGTTGTACTGTAACTGCTGTGTGTGGGCATTTTGTTACTTGTATCTATTTTTGTTTTGGGATATGACACATGGTGAGAGGCTGTGTAGTTTGTAAAAACGTTACATTGAAGTTACTTGAACAAATATATGTGAATTGAAGAACAAATAATGTTGGTCTACTGAAACTGATATAGGTGTTATTTTTAAGGATTTAAAATGGTTTCAAGGCCCACGGAAGGTCAGTACATAGCACTGTGGCCAAGGCCAATTTTTTCACCCTGAGCCGATAAACATGGAATATATCCGAATGCTCACAGCGAAACCTGTATTAATGCCTCTATCATGTTGCCTTTTATTTCTCCATTGTTTTTGGGGTTGGCCTTAGTTCTGTCTTTGTTGAACATTTGTTATGTTTTGGAATGATAAGATTGTACATATCTGAATGCTGTTACTGAATCAGAATAAATTCTTTCTACTGACACGTAGTGTTGTCTGTCAGTTTTTATACTGTGCTGTTGATCCTTGTGGACCTATAAAGTACATCCGTGTACAGCACTGTGCAAAAGTCAAATATCGCCTTTTATTTATTTTCTGGGACTGGAGTTCAAAAAAACAATTAAAAGCTTCAGAGAAAATGGGACTCATAACAGACCTGGTAGATCACCACACCTGTCCCCATCAGATTAACAGCACTTAAAGTTTTCATCTTTGAGAGAGAGGAGAAAATCAAGCCCCCCTCTTACTTCATATCTGAAAAAATCCACATCCATCCTTCCACTGTAAGAAGACAACTCGGTGCCATGGGTCTGAAAGTATGTGTAGCTGTAAAGAAGCCCTTGTACAAATCAAAGAAGCTGCTGGTGTTTAGAGAATAATGGACTAACCACCCCAGAGCCCAAACCTCAGTGTCATTGGATGTGTTTGGGGTTACTAGGATGGTGAGAATCAGAAAATGCAACCAACTTTTAATACTGATCTTTGGAGGTGTGGAAAAATATCCCTGCAGATTTCTTTGAAAAACTGAAAGCAGGTCTTTTAAAAAGAATGTGAGCTGTGATAAGAATAAAGAGTGAACACACTAAATACTGAAAAACATTAAAGTTGTTAAGGCTTTTGTGCGTTTTTGAGTATGTATGAATGTATATTTAGGTAAAAACAGTAAAAAAGAGTGATGGATTGTTTGGGTGTGAAAGCTTTTGTGCAACGTTTAATATCCAGACATGATGCTCAAACGGACTGACAGGTTTGCCAGATGATATTTCTCCTAATTCCATTCTAAAAGCAGTTGTAATCTGCCATTTTTGTCTTGTTGGACTAGCAGGAGGGATTATCCCAGAGAGTTGCCCTTTTTCTGCCTGATTACTAACCGTAAGGAGAAAGAGGGGATTGGAGGTCAAAGTTTCCTTCAACTAATCACCAGATTACAGACAATACTACAATAATCCAAAAGGTTTCATGTGTGCATAGACATCTGATTAGTATGTTTTCTCATGTTAGATATGCTGGCCCAACAGTGTGTATTTCGATCATGGGCATATCATGAAAATCATTTGATTTGATGTCATGTATATTTTTATTTGTATTCAGACCTGGACACCATCTGTATATTACTGAGTAGTTGGCTAATATAATACCACTTTTGATCTTCACATTTTCATGAATGCAGATGTTACTTCAACCCTGCAGATGATCCAGAAGAAATTACAGGCACAAAACCAGTCAGATCTACAATAGAAATTGGGCTAAGAACCTTCGCAGGATTTGCCAGCAGCTGTGAGTTAATGACAATCCCTATTGTCTATGGGATTAGACATTTCATTATTCTACGATAAAAGCAAATCTCTACTTGCCAGTCACTTTCATATGATTCTGGCAACTAATTTCCAGACTGGGTGCTTAATCCTATTCCAGTTTAATGTCTTTGAGTGAAAGGAAATTCACTTTAATTTTCCAGCGCTCCTCCTCCTCAATGGACTTCCAGTGCAAAACATAAAATACAGCATAAAAGTCATACTGAGGCTCTTTTTTGGGCTCAAATAATTGTTCTGTAATTTTTACACAAATAATGACACAATTACTCTGTCATGAATGGAGAGTTCATATGGCCATCATTGCCACCTGCTGGTCAAAGGAGACAACATTTTTTTCTTTGGGAAGGACATTTATTTCTCAAAACCTCCATGGTACAATGTACTGCAAAGCAATGTGTAATCCTGAAAGCAATAGCATTTATATTTCAGAGAAAAACCACACGGTTAATCCGTCAGCACTTCTACACTGTTAGAAATAAAAGTTCTGTGCAGGTACATGTTTCATTCATCAAGGTACAAACAATGTAAATGTTCCCTCAAAGGTACAACAGTGGTTTTAAGGTCCAGCTGTGTACATTAACTAAGTTTTTCCCCAGTAGAAAAGTATGTATTTGTTCATTTTCATAATCTAATGTTTTAAAACAGAACAATAAAAGCCTGTAGATACAACTTAGAAAATATAATTTCAATGGATTATGGTACAATTATGCTCCTGACTAAAGGTACTGAGATGTACCCTTGAGGGTACCACCCCAGTGACGAGAGGGCAACTGCCCCAGTGACAGTTTAGTACCTTTATTTCTGACAGTGTAGGTGTTTTGCCAATATACCTTCATACATGAGTCATGCATAGCTTCATATTTAAAATATTTTTATACAGTCCAACAAGTTTTGGTTCACTAGAAATACGAGTTGAAAATGAAGAGCTTGTTCAGAAGGTGGTGTAAGGTTTCCATTTCAACACTTCAGATGCTTCTTCAATTTTATGCAGGCTGATGTGGTTGAGTCTTTGCTCAGGCTTTATCATCTGCTCCACAGGGTTCGCCAATAGTTCACTGACATCTCAGAGTGGAGGAGAGGTGACGTTTTTACTTGGACTGAAGCAAAGTGTTTTGATATGACTAATAAGGCCAGGCAGGGCAGATTTATTTATATAGCACCTTTCATACACTGCTGTCATTCAAAGTGCTTTAAATAAGTCACAAATATTTGTATGCTTTTATAATAATTTAGTGAAATTCAATACACGCTTGTTTCATATTACGTTTCGCCTTTGAAGTATTAAGCAAATATGTGAAGGTTCTTGATTACTGCTCTGTATAATTCGTTTTAAGCTCCACCTATGTGAAAGTGTTTTCCAGAAATGCCCACTGTAGTAAACTGAACGATGCATTCATATTCATAGATTCAATTAGAAAGGTTCCAGTCAAACAGCAGAGAAAAGCAGCAGTCAAAGTTTAAATAAGGCTCTGACTGAGAGCGCTGAAGTTATCTTGCTGAAAGCTAAACGTTACTTTGGCAACCAAGACAGCAGAAGTCAAGCAGAGAGTAAAACAGATCTCAGCATAGATTAGATAGGGGTTAAGAATGTACTCCAGCCAGAGATAAAGTACAGGTCCAATCTTTAAAAAAAACACACAAACAAACAAAACATCTGTAACAACTGTAAGTTGCACAAATGCTGCATCTGTCATGGGCCTTTAATATAGCAAAGAAGAAACAGGATATGTGTTCTCTGGCCTTCCATGCTTTCTCTTTTTCCGTATGGTGAGCATATTTACTTGTTAAAGGTTATTCAGAGCGGTTTGATACGAAATGTGTCATTTTAGAAAAACGTGTAAAAAAATGTCTCTAAAAGCAACATTACCAAAAGTCTTTTTTTGAATGATTACAAATGTGCAGCCTGATGCCCAAAACCTTGTTTTACGATAGTTTTTGGCCTAAAACGTATATTTTTCATGCACGGTGGAGGAGTACATGCAGTGTGCTGCAAGGCAAAATCTTACACATCGTTTAGCATGATTTTACCATTAACATTGACACATGCAGATTCACTGGCCATTTTGAACAGCATATACAAAAAGAAAAAAAAAAGAAAAATAATTTTGTCAGGGTCAGTGCCCATTCATAAACAGCATCAAAAGAACTGTAAATGAATCAGAGTCAGCCACAAAGATATTCATCGTGTAATGACCTCTGGTTCCCATCACCATTACTGTGAAGACATCTGAGTCAGAAACAATTAATCATTTCACGTCAAACCACCTTGAATGACTCAGACATTGGACCAAATCATTAGGCATGTAGTTTTTTTTGTGAATAAGATTCTCCCTACAGCACATACTTCATGGACAAAGACTAGCAAAGAATTATTTAGGTGCATGTAAGCAAAGCCGCAGGCACTTGGTGACTTCAGGGTGAAATCTAAAATGTAAATTAAAGCCTTTAGAACCACAGTTACTAAATAAGAATATCACATAAATCAGTACTGTAATATAAGCTCATGTAGGAGGTGTTTAACTTTCAGTGATTAAGATCCAAAAAACATTTAGTCATGGGTCAAGACTCCTTGGTGTGTGGAGCTAATCTTCATCCCCTCCCACTCAGTCATCCCCTCCACAAATCCTCTTCAAACACTGGCCAAAGTCGCCGCCTACGTCCGACTAGAATTGGGCAAGATGACGTGATTTAGAATCAAGTTTCAATGATTCATAAGAACCAGTTCATCAAGAAACTAATAAAAGAGAACCAACAGGTAAAAAATTACACAAACTCGGAAACAGGAAGCAGTGGCATAACTACCAGCGATGCAGGCAGGGTAGTTGCACTACTACTACTAACTGGGGGGTTGGGCTGGCAGACTGCCTAACATTTTTATAGGGCTCCTTTATCCCCATAAGTCATGGGCAGCTACAGCAGTTTTACAATATTAGGCTGTATTGCAGCACCAACATGAATGTTTCTTTCTTTTTTTGTTATTCTATGAAAGTAATTTTTATATGGCCTACTGAATTTTTTTGCACCAGGACCCATAAGATTGCTACACTACAGTTATGCCACTAAAGGGGAAGTCAAGCTTTAAAAACCGACAGAACAGTGCAGACTAACAGTTAACAGTTTTTCAGTAGTTTTCATTAGCCACGTTTACATGCAGCCTGATAATCAGTTAATAATCTGACTGAGAGCTCTAGTGGAATAGAATATGTCCGTGTAAACACCTCAATAGGAATAGACTAGTCTGATTGAGGCCATTCAGAATACAGTTTCTATCCGACTGAACCAGGTGGGTAATCCTGTAAATAATTCATTGAATAGAAGAATAATAACCATGTAAAAGCCTGTATCTGAACACATTCCCAAACGGAAAGTGTAAGTATGTTCTGCGCATGTACGTTTGCATCATAACGAAAGTTTATAACGTCTAACATGGCGGGAGCAGAAACTGGTCTGCAGAGGAGATGAAGTTTATGCTTTAAACTTTAAAAGACGGTGGTGGGACGGGCGTCCAGCTTACGTGTCTCAGAACACGACGTCTTCCTCTTGCCTTTCTTTAATAAGTACATGTGAAGTACATTTTCCTGAGTCTGACATCATTTTAAAATAATTAAAAATACAAGTGTGCTAGCTGAAAACTCAGGTAACACACTGCCACTCATCTTACTCTGACTGAACTCACGTGATGCTCGTTGTCATGGTAACATCTACATTAAGTGGTACTCCACACATCCGCATCATTTTGGATCAGATTTCTTGTCGTGTGCATGTAAACAGATTTTCCATCAGATTGCTGAGTAGAGTGAGCATATATACCTCAGTCTTAATCTATAATCAGAATGTATTTAATCGGATTGGCAAAAATCTTTGCAAGTAAACACAACCATTGTTTCTTTACAGGAGGTTTGGATGGACAGTGTGCTCTGCTTAGAACGAAAATGACCAAGATTTTGTCTAAACTTACCGCAATTGCAGAATATAACGAGCAGCCATAAAGTTTTTTATACTCCGCCCTGATGTCCAGCAGGTCAATTTCAGACCGGCTGACCATAATCCTGGTCATAATTGATTCAGTGGTTCCCAGGCCCTAAAGAAACCAAAGACAGCTAGTTCAACAGAGCTCAACAAATACAGTGAAGTCCCTGTAGTTACTGAATAACAAGCCTCAGTATGTAATTAGCCATGTTTACTTTACTTTGCCTAGCAACGGGCACAGGGTGTGTTCTTCAGCACCCTGAGCCAGTATTTTTCTGCACTGCTCATGGACTACTGCCCCATCGCCCACCATGAACAAACTGCCCCTGATCATGATACTTGAAGACACCTTTGTGATGCACTAAATGTGTAATGATATTTTTTTTTGAGGTTTGAGAACTAGCTAAAAAAAGAATACATGTTCCAGCATAACAGGACGGTATACAGTATACTGATACTGATACTACCCAAGACATACTCAGTACAGTGCATCATGACACAATTTATAATGCTATTAATTGTCATGTTGCTCATCATTGAGCTGGATGGATTATGACTCAACAGGCAAGGGCATGAGAAATTTCACAGAATGAAGCCAAATGAAGTTTAGCTATTGCCAGTGTTTAAAATTGAGCACTTCCAATGAGATATTACACTACTGGTCAAAAGTTTGGAATCACTGGCCATATAAACACTTTTCTGGTGTTTTATTTACAATAATATTGTACAAGCTGTGAATTAAAATATTATACATTTTTCTTCCAAATTTTTTTAAGACGTGTAATTCAATATTTCAAGAATTCTTTAAACAAGAAGTGAATAGAAGTTTTATTTTTTTAAAAAAAGTTTTAATTAATGAATACTATATAGTAGTTATCTATTTACATTCTGTCAAGTTAGCTATATGGAGTTATTTATTCTCCATTGTCAAAATATGATACATTCTGAATTTTCATATTAATTAACATTTTAGAATCTTCTGCAGCTCCGCTCATCATTCTGGACACATCTAACATTTCCTAGTTTATATTTTTAATAATTTTTTATAATTGATTTTTTTTTATTAAAATACTTCAAAGTTTTAAACGACAGATAAGGTATGTGTGACAGAGTGAATCTAATTTGGTTTGACAGTTTTCCCCTGTAAAATAGCTTCATCCCAGGCTGTGCTGCCTGCTTTGCTTACCTTCATACTCTCATTGAGGCGCTCTGCCAGATAAGCTGGTACACTCTTCACACATTTCACTGCAAATACATGCAATTTAAATAACAATTACTGACAAATGAGTAAAAACAAGCAAGAGCTATATATGACAAGAGATGATAATATTTACAAGAAGAGCAGAAAAGAATTTGTGATACCTATGGCTACCAGAATGTTCTCTAAATTTCCAGACATCTCACTCTCGATGCTCTGCTGTAGGGTCTTCCCAGTCAGATTCTTGTATTCAACCAGAGCTTTTAAATTTAGGAAATGAAAAAAAAAGCAAATGAAAAAACCCATTTGGGGTTTTCATCATAAAACGACAACATCATTTAGTCGAAGATACCAAATCTCCAAACTCCATTTTAAAACACATGACCAGCTAACCGTAAGAGGCCCATATTCTACATTTTCTTGTATTTTAGAAACAGGGACCTCTTCTTCTTCTAGGGGCAGCATACTTAAACATGGCATTTATCTGCAAATTTCTATTTATTTGCTAAGTTTAACATATTGGAAAAAATAAAACATACATAAAATGTGCCATAACTTTTGCACAGGCCATTTTATGCTTTATTTTTTGTTTCCAATATATTAAATTCAGTAAAAAAAACAGTAAGTGTTTTTTAAAATGTGTAGAAATGTGGTCTCAGTAGAGGATGTGTTCATTTATTTTCAGTTCAACATATAAGTTGACTAGGGACATCCAAACATTTGCATAGGACTGTATGTAAATACATCCAACTTGATTGACTGCCCTGCACGCAAAGAGCTCTTCAGGCTGAAACGTTCCTCATAACTTCAGCATGAATGAGGGGGGCTAAACTGCTGTAGACTGAATAGAAGTGATCGATACAACAAACATATGACATTGCGATGCTTCGAGAAATTTTCACGATAGACTATATGCCATCATGTTTTTTTTGACATCTGATCAGTTGGAACTGAGAAAAAGAACCAGTAGTGCTACATTTTAAAAAATACTTTCAAAAACTGTAAATACAATGCTTTTTTATTTGGCATGCTGTGTGGCACTAAATCCAGTTAAAGAGGACTAATTTTGCTCTCTTAATAATGAAACATGAAGTTGGTTAGTGTTCTGTTAATAATACATATACATCTGACATAATGTATCACTATAATAATATACTGTCATATTCCCTTCAATGTGCTGATTCTTAGGATATCATAAACAATTAAAACAATTCAAAACAGGCTTTTTGCAGCCTAGTTTCCATATATAGACTGTATGTACTGTGAAATTAATGGCACATTGTGAAATCTAACAATGTGCACATACTACATCAAACTGTATTTTCAAAAAAGTGAGATTCAGTTTAGCATGATATGCGCCCTTCAACAGACTGTATTAAAATGAAGTTAGTTCCAGTTTGTGTAACCAGCACAGAATATAAGAACTACTGGTATCCAGTCTGCCTCTTACTCTGTCTGAGCTGAGGAACACTCCTGCGGCATAGGATATCTATGAACTTGCTCTCATCTGTCCCCCACCTCTTCTCTCCAGCCTCATACAGGACCTGTCCAATAAAACACATTCATATATAATGGAGTTAGATGTTAGAAAAAGAACAGACTTGTTTGAAACGTGTTCAAGGCTGTCATACACATGATGTTGGGCAAGCTCATTGAATTATTTATTAAAGGGGAATTACACTGAATATGTAATTTAAACATTAAGATTGAACAAAGTCATTCAGATTGCTCTGATGTGAAATGCTCCAACTTCTGAAATCAGACTTGTTCACCGTGGTGGTGATAGAAACCAGACATCTGAATCATTTAGTGTCTCTAAAAAGCTACTACATATAAAAGGATGAAAGGACAAGTTGGCTGATCTCTGAAACAATGGTTTATGATAGTTATATAGTTATATATAGTGGAATGGTACATATAGGGTGCTGTAAGGCAAAGTACTGGATATGTATGTGTGTAAATATATATGTGGACATTGTGACCCCTGGTTCCTATTACCATTGCTTTAAAGAAAGTTAGTTAGGTTTATCTACAATATACCATTTCACATCAAACCACTCTGAATGACTTTGTTTACTCCTCAACTTAACAATTTGATAAGTTCGAAGAGACAAAAATACAACAGCGTTGTAGGGCCACTGTTAATAAAAATAAAAATAGTAGACATTGAGAATAAAGTTGTAATATTTCGAGAAAATAAGTAATAATATTTAGAGAATAAAGTCGTAAAGTTTCGAGGATAAAGTGGGCTAACTGTAGGGGGGCTGCCATAACGCGTTGGGGTCTCGGATGCTGTACTGGCGCCAGAGTTCCACTCACTCCTGTCTCTTTGTGGATCGATCATTTTGATTATCATTCTCATTATCTGTGAAACTTCATGCCCTCTTTGAATGGCACGGAGATGTAGCCACTGATAGCCGTGTAGGCGGCCACTGCCTACGATTCTCCTTCAACAACACAGACAGCTTCCTCTGAGTCCGCCTGGTTCTTTCATCTTAATAAACACAGTTTCTTGCACAGCCGTTTCTTATACTATAACAGGCTGGTGCTGATGTGCCAGGAGAGACAGCGAGGCTGAGTATGTCTTTATGGGTGAAATCGATATGAAAGTGTAACTCCACCAACTCAACGCCCTTCATTTTAACACGAAGAGGTGCTGCCTTCCCTTTGCATAGCCTTTGGCCATAATCTTGCGACCTTTCCTTGTATTAATGCCACTTTAATGTTGTAATTCTACAACTCTATATTTCTCGAAATAGTACGATTATTTTCTCAAAATATTACAACTTTTTTTCTCAAAATTGTATGACTTTTTTCTCTGAACATTACGACTTTTTTCTTGAAATACTGCGACTTTATTCTCGAAATATCATACCGTCTACTATTTATATTTTTATTAACAGCGGCCCTAAAATGCTGTCGTACAAAAAAGCCCCAGTATTGCCACATTTACAAAAATACTACTGAACTACATAATCAACTATGAGTACAATGCCTTTTCTTCAGTGTTTCACATAATCTGCTGCACTAAATTCAATTCAATTCAATTAAATTATGCTCTCTTTGTAACGAAAGAGGCAGTTGTTCGGTGTTCTTTACATACTGATGATGTCCACAATGCTCAGACAAGCATACAATGATGTAATTTATCACAATAACAATAAACATGGCCATACTGCCCACCCCTAAAAGTCAGTACTACTACAGAGAGCAACTCCTCTGACATGATGCCATCTATGACGCTTTAGTTCCAAACAGATACCAGCATGAACGGAGTACAGAATTTCTATCTTTCGTCCTGTGTTACCTTGGCATCTGCTTTAGCTTTCGCAGCATCCACCGTGGTACTCTCATCCCTCTTGCCCTGTTGGTTAAGCAAAGTGAGGAGCTAGCATTGCTCATTTTCATCTATACAAATCAGATACAGATGCAAACAGACCACGAATGGAGCCAACCTCAGCTAGGATAAGCAGAGCTTTCCCATAATCCCCTGACACCTCAGACTTCAGGTCGTGAAGTAGCAATCTCCCAGTTTCTGAAACAGACCATGATTAACGTAAAATCAGTATTTAATATAGTCAAATGATCTGCAACCAAACAAGAACAATTATTAAAAATACAAACCTGCCAAATATGCATCAGACAGAGCTTTGATTTGAAAGTTAGATCGGGATGCAAATATCTCTATCAAAGTGCTGTCTGTTGTTCCAGCTCCCTGAGAGAGTAGAGATGGATTATTAACCACACAATCACTGAGAAGAAGACGTCTGAAATTTCCATTGTTTTGGACTACTTATCAATAAACTTTAAAGCGTTCAGGATTAGAGGTAGAAAGAACTATAAAAAGCCTGCATGCCAAAACAGAAGAGAGTCATTTTTTGACACATGTCAACAAAAGAGCACACAATGTTTTTCCACAATTGTGACGTAAATCTCTTACTTTAATCGCTCGTATAAATTCCCTGCAGTCAAACTGAGCTGGGGTCATGATCAGGGCCAACAGGATATCCTCGAAGTCTCCACGAGTGTCACCTTTCAGGTCATCAGCGAGAGTCTATCATTCAAGAACTCACATGTTAGAATGGTTTGTGGGAATTGTGTTCTGGTCACCTATAGAGCTAAACAGTTTGGAATTTTTAGATTAAACTGAAGCCCTTCAAAACCCCAACTACGGTTGAGGAGTGTCTCAGTTCAGACTGCTTTCTGAATGAGGCAGGAGAGCCAATCAGAACAGACCTCATTTACATATATCAGTCTAAAGGTACACTAACAAAAACTTCTTTTTAATAGGAAAATGGTCATGTAAAATGAATTAATGCTTTTTTTAATACATAAAGTCAAACAAATATATGGCGGGGTGGGCAATATGACAGAATATAACATCACTATAGTAGAACAATATATTCTGAAGTTTGATAAGCTACAAAAAGCCCTAGTAGAGGCACATTTAAACATGTCCTAAATACAATTATCATTACCATTTATGCTCTCATTTTAATGACACATGCAATTGTTCAGTGTTGAGTATTGACGATATTTACAATATGTTCCGAAAATCATATTGTGACAAAATCTATTACAATAACCATTAAAATATGTTGCCTACCCCAAATATTTGGATCTCTGAGGGAAAAAACTCAAAAAATAAGGATATGCACTCTTGCTTTGAAGTCTACACTGGGGTAAAGACTAGTATGGGTGGTTTACCCTTCCAGTTGCTTGATGGTAAGCTTTGCAGATCAGCTGGCGCTGGGCATTGCTTCTCTGAGTGAGAATGTCAATCAGGGATTTCTCATTGGTTCCTGCCAATGTCAGAAACAATATCATGAAAACACGCATACAAATTTCATATAATTTCCCTGACAGCCAGTGACTGCAGTCAAACAATGTGTACATTCTTCAGCTGAACTCTGGTAAACTGGGTGCAGTGTAAATTTACTCAGTGAGTAACTGCAAATCCAAGCATGTTAATGGTAGTTGGGAGGTGCCTCACCTAGGCCTTCTATAGCCTTCCTTAAAGCAGCAACATCTTCAGATGGATTGAAACCTGGCTTTTCCTTAACAGTGCCTCTGGCACTAGACTGGAAGATATGAACAGAATATCAGATCACAATTTGTAAATAAAAGAGTGCTTGTAAACCCATTATTAAGAAGAATGCGTGAGGACACATCTTACAGTAACTGTTAATGAGTCTGGGGAATCCAGAAGAAGGCTCAGATCATCCTGAAACATAAGAGACAAATTCAGCCTTGTGCTTAAATACATACTGTTCATAAACACGGACCAACAAACTCTTATTAAATTGGTCTTGATGACATTCATAAAAACTTTTGTAGAGCTCATACTCACCCACACAGAAGCCATTGTTGTTTAACTGGGTTAACCCTGTATTGAGATATCAGAAGCTTGTCATCCATTGCCTTTCTCTTACACTACATGTCCAAAAATTTGTAAACGCCCCTTTCAGTTAGTGAATGCTACTTTAAGGTGCACCCATTACCGACATAGACATTTAACATTTTAATTAACACAGCTTGTATAATCTCCACTGAAAAGCACTGCTGACAGAATATGAAGCTCTGGAGCTGCTACATATGAGCTTAAAGTGAAATTCCACCACTCTTTCAAAATGTATACAGAATTGCTGAAATGTTAAGTCATTCAAAGTGGTTTGATGTGAAATGGATCATTGTAGAAAAACCTACAGACTCAGATTTCTTTTCGGTGGTGGTGATAGGAACCAGGGGTCACAATGTCTACAACACAAATAAAGCCATTTTATTTACTGTTCAAAATGACCAGAGAACCTACACGTGTTTATGTTTTTATACACAATACTGTTAATTTAAAAAAAAACTATTTTTCCCTAAAATGCTCTGCATGTGTCTCTGTACATACATGGTTTATGTCAAAACCTTAGTTAAAAAAATATCATTAAACAAAGTCTGAGCTTTTTGAGGCATTATAAACTTCGCATTCCAGTGACCAATGAACCTACATGTGTCTTCTGAGTTTTTATCTAATGCTGATAATGATAAAATAGTGGTAAATCTGAAAGAAAAAACAAAAAAAAGAAAAACTTTCTTTGGAGACTATTTTGCCTTAGAACACCCTGCATGTCTCTTATGTTTAAATTAACAGTGTAGTCCAAAATCTTATCGGAGACTACTGCATAACAATGGCCCAATAATCAGACAATAAATTCATAAACATTTCATGTCACTGCTTCCTCTGAGGGAGCTTTTAGATCAGAGGTCACCAACCCTCTTCCTGGAGATCTACTTTCCTGCAGAGGTTGGTTCCAACTTGCATCTAGCACGCTGTACCCCTTTTACCTCACACTAATGCATCTGATCCAGCCAATCAAAGACTTCCGAAGAAGTTTTGGACCTGGAGCAGGTATGGCAGGTAGATTGGAGGTGGAACCAGACTCCACAGGAGGGTAGATCTCAAGAAAAAGTGTTGATGACCACTGTTTTGGATGCAGACTAGAGGAGTATAAAGTCCCCCAGCAATGGGCTGTATAGCAGTGGAGCTGCGTTCTCTGGAGTGATGGAGCTCCATACAGTACCTTTGGGATGAGCTGAAGTGATCCAGAACTGATCATCCAACATCAGTACCTGACCTTACTAATGCTCTTGTGGCTGAATGCAATCAAATCCTCACAGCAATGTTCCAAAAACCTTCCCAGAAGAGTAGAGGCTATTATCGCAGCCAAGAAGAGACAAACTCCTCATTTATAACTTTGATTTTAGGAAAAAACTCTGGATAAGCAGGTGTCTCAGGCTTTTGGACATCTAGTGTAGATTCATTTCTTGTTATTGACTGTAAAATTAAGCTGATCAGGATATTTCGTTTTTACAAAGAGGACCAGGCGGAAACAGCTACACCTACAACAGACATGCCTTCTCTATTCAAACAAGCTGCAACGCTGCACATTCTATACGCAGCTATCAGGTAAGGCAGCCTAACTCAATGTACACTTCTGCTGACCAATAAAACAGCAAAGTCTGCAAAGTTTAAACCATCAAAAGTTTTCAACCATCAACAACACAAAATGAGAATACACAGCCAGAAAACATGAAAAAACGTCACCACATTACTGTATCATCCAGTAGAGAATTGGAAAGTGAAAATCAGTCGGTTCACAAACCTGAACTGATGCGTTTGCTTACTGTGCAGTACAAAGTGAAGCTCAACAACATAACAGCTACTCTATATCAACATCTAGCTAAGCGCACTTGTTGGTTTCTTTTCTTAATTCGGTGATAAGGTAACTACTTTACCTCAACTCGACAGCTGGCTCCGTTAACCTCTCCTTTTCCAAGTTGAATTGCAACCAGTAGGCATGGGCGTCGAAACTAAAAAGAATCGATTCCTAAAAAGAATCGATCCCACACACCCGGGAATCAAGAATCAACTCCAAGGATTCGTTTCCACACAGTTTGCATTTATTTTACTTCGGAAAACAAAGATAACTGTAAAATGTGTAACGATAAACTGACTTACAAACAAACAACATTGACAATTCCAAAACATCCGAACCCACTTGAAGGAGTCTACAGAGAAAAACCAGGTACTGTTTATCCAGCGACCACTAAGTTAGTCAAGTTAGTTTAGCTAGCGTTAGCGCTCCAGATTTCCTTGCTAGGATCAAATGTAATTAATATTGTACCATTTATTTTTTATCATATTCCATTTTTTATGGATCAAGGTTGAATCGAGGTTATTGTGTGGAATCGATTTTTCCAATCGCTTGGATTCAGATTCGGAGTCGACTCTAAGTTCACTGGAATCGAACATGTCAGTAGGGAAACGCCCATCCAGTGCAGGAAATGAACGGAATGTGGCTCCACAAAGAAACGGCCTCCTATTTTTTGAGTCATCAGATGCTACGTAACGCTATTAAAGTGGAATTCCACAAACTTAAAAAAAAATTCTAAATAATTCAGTCCTTGAGATGTAATCAGAGTCATTCAGAGTGGATTGATGTGAAATGGTTAATTGTAGAGACTCAGATTTCTTTACATTGGTGGTGATAGGAACCAGGGGTCCCCATGACTACAACACAAATAAGAGCCTTTTTATTTACTATCCAAAACCACCAGTGAACCGACAGGAGTCCTCTGAGTTTTTATATGTAATGTTGATGATGGTAAAATAGTCATAAATCTGAAACAATACAACACCCTGCATGTACCCCTCTGCCATCAAAGGATTAAAATAATCCTAATTTACATCTTAACTATTTAATTATGCAGATAAAAAAAAAAATCAGTGGAGTTCCCCTTTAAGTGTTTTGCAGTTGCAGAGTTACAATGGATGTTGAAATGATTAAGTAATCTGAAGAGGCGTCACCTTTACAGCATTGCTGTAACAGACTTTGCAGCAATGCTGCCATCATCTCTCATTCCTCTTATTCAGATTCAAAGTCTCTACCAAACACAGCCAGTGTGAGCAGAAAGGCAATGCAGTTTTTATTTGCAGAGATCGTCAATATTTCAAATCGGTTTAATTACAAGTCTTAAGCTTCCAAAATATCAAAATAAAAGCATGATATTCAATTTCCTGCCCAGATAAGGACAACGGCAATCTGCATGTGTTACTGGCAGGAGCAGTAGTCATAAAATAATAAGGCTGCCAGAAAGAACAAAATTGACCAGATGCAATGCTGATATGGTCCATTATGTTCTCCTCACTTTATGATGGGCTGTGATGACTTAATTAAGCTGCATATATCAGACATATCACAGTAGCTCCTCATAGTCCAATACACTTTATAAATATCAGCTTTAAAGGGAAAGTCCACTGATTTTTAAACTCTCATTTTCCTTACAGTGGTGGTGATAAGAACCAGGGCTTGCATTGTATACAATACACATTTTATTTACTATCCAAAGCAAATCCTGATACACAAACAGTAAATATAGTGGTAAACCTGAAAAAGGAAAAAAACAAACAAACAAAGTTTTCTTTGGAGCCTATTTTGCCTCACAACACCCTGTATGTACCCTCCACCAAAAATGTATTTAATATATGTTTTAGGCCAAAATCTTCTCAAAACCCAAAACCTCATAACCATTTCATGCAGTATGTGAGGGAGATTTGCCTTTTGAATGTGTTCCTACTGAAACCTAAAAGAGATGCCTTTAACATTAAGATGTTTCTGAAGCTCTTGATTAGGTGTATAAAGTGTATTACATTAGCATTGATGCTGTTACAAACTGTTCTGCAGAAAACCAGTATAGACCTTCTTCCATACGTTCCTGTCCAAACAAGGCAGAAGAACATACATGCACGTAGGCCCAATCCCATTTCTTATTTTTACCCCTACCTCTTGCCCCTTGGAACTGAGTTACAATGGGTAGTGGTTGAAATCTTCCTCTGTGAAATGAGACCCTCAAATAAAGAAGAACAGTACTTAATTAACAGGCTACTAGTGGTGCTCTGTAGACGAGCCTGCCAGTCTGCAGTGATAGCAGAGGAGGGTAAAGTTCAGCAACCTCACTTCTGGACTTTAGTTACATTTAGGAAATCATATGCATTCAAAGAGGGGGATAAGACAATTATTTATTATCACTCATCCCTAATTCTTTAGTGATACGAAGCTGAAGCCAGCGATTCACCAGCTTCTTGTTCAAATTTTCCTATTCCACCTTAAATGGAGAAACAGTTACATTCTAGTGCTTCAAAAGAACCATAATACATTGAAATGACATTAAACTAAGATAATACAATTGTAATCATTATTAAAAAAGAAAGAAAATACTCACATTTGTGTGTTTTTTTGGTCGCTTATGCAGCCATCTTGCCAGTTTTTCTTTTTTTCTCATAACACTGTTTGGAGTGTGCCAAAAACCTCTATTTGAAAGGTTATTTAGCTCTAACACTTCACACTATCCCTCTATCTCAACAAAAATTGGGACACCCTACCCCTAGGCGTGAACGCGCAAAACAGAAGGTAAGGGCTAAATTGTAGGGGAGAGAAGTGAAATGGGACTGGGCCTAAATGCATGAAAATATAACCATTGCTTTAATGGAAACTTCTCGTATTCATCAGAAGTGATCATTATGTAGCTTACACTCTTAAAAAAGGCTCCTAAATGCTTCTTGGCTTAGACCTGCTAACAGGAAAAAGCTTAAGCTGGTATTCAGCCTTTATATTATGTGGAAGTTCTTTAAAAGCTAAATTTCCCAACATTTCTTGAAAGAACTATCACTTGAAAGGTTCTTTAAGAAACCAAATGTGGTTCTTCTTCGGTATTGCACCCATCCATCCATCCATCCATCCATCCATCATCTAAACTGCTTATCCTTCTGGGTCGCAGTGGGGTGCTGGAGCCTATCCCAGCTGTCATTGGGCGGAAGGCAGGATACACCCTGGACAGGTCGCCAGTCCATCGCAGGGCAGACAGACAGACATACACAATCACACTAGGGGCAATTTTAGCATGTCCAGTTGGCCTGACTGCATGTTTTGGACTGTGGGAGGAAACCGGAGTACCCGGAGGAAACCCACGCAGACACGGGGAGAACAGGCAAACTCCACACAGAACTGACCCCGGTCGCCCCGCCGGGAATCGAACCCAGGCCATTCTTGCTGTGAGGCGACAGCGCTACCTCCTGTACTGCGCCCAAGAACCCTTTATTTTTAAGATAACAGACATGAATAGAAATCTCTAATCTATACCTGCTGCAATCCAACTTTCTTGAACATCTTAACTTTGTATTCTTTGTATAACTTTGTATTCTACTGTATTCCTGAAAGGAACGACAACTTATTTTCCTATAATTCTCACTTGCCTTTTGTCTGGACAGAGATTCACCTGTCTATATGGTTCCCAGTAAGCCTCATGAGTTGTGTCCACTATAAAACGTCTCCTCTTTCAGCTTCGGAGCTTTCCATCTCTCTCTGGTTCCTCTGCATCCTCTGGCAAAAAGTGCATAGCAGATATACACACACAAACAGATAAACAGCCACCACGAGCCACACCACAGCAATGAACACGGCAACGCGCAACAGGTTACTATCCATCTCTACTGACCGAGAGGAAAGAGGAGGGAGAGGTAAATAGAGAGTACAAAAGTAAACACCTGTATGACAGGGTAATGATGCTCTTAGCTCTACACAAACATCAAAACATCACTTTGTACCTCCTGTTGATGGACGGTTCTTTAAGGAACCATTTTTGTATATGAGATGTGTGAGTTTTTAAAGTTTAAAGGACCCCCCCCGTAGTGTAAAGGTTCTATACCAATGAATGTTTACTTCGAACTGTACGTCCAGCCAAGAATCATTTAGGAACCTTTATTGTTAAAAGGCCATAAATGGTCATAATTCATTTTTACCTGACCAACCTCTCTGTATTCCTTACACACTTAGAAGAGATGGGTTCTTTAGTAAAGAAAATGGTTCTGTATAGAACAGTAGACACTCAAAGAACCCTTTGCATGATTAAAGGATTCTTTGTATCATGAAAGAGTTCTACAGATTGATGCAGAATGTGCTGTAAATGGTTCTATATTGAACCTTTTTGAAAAGGGTTCTTCTATTATTATAAGCTTAACATCATAACAATAGAAGATCCCTTTTGGGTGCTATCTATAACCTTTTTTAAATAGGTTCCATATAGAACCATATACAGCACATTCTGCATCAATCTGAAGAACCATTCCACCATGTAGAGAACCCTTTAATCATGCAAAACGTTCTTTGAGTGTTGATGGCTCTATATAGAACCATTGTCTTTAAAGAATTATATTTTATAGAGTGAACCTTTTCAAAAAGATTTTATATAGCACTGTCTCTCTTCAGTACATTCTCTATCAATATGAAGAACCTTATACTTTACTAAAGAACCTATGAAGAACCATCTTTTTAAGTGTGTAGAATTGAACAGGCAGATTTATGAAAATGACCTCTGTTCTGATTGGCTGCCCTGTATTGTGCCTCATTCAAAAGGCAGTCCGGACTGAAACACCGTATTAAGGGTTATACCCTTACTGTGAGTGGGCAGGGCTAAACTGCTGTAGGCTGAACAGCTGGATACATGTAAATGAGTTGGTTCTTGTGACATCACAGAAACAACAAATTTATAACAGGCTGGTTTTGAAGCTTAGTTTCCATATATGGGCTGCACGGACAGGGGAGTGAACAGTGCATATGGAAACTTTAATAGTCTTTACATACCATGCCCATTATATGGGCTCTTTAAATATGGCACAACTGTTTTGCTGGGGAATTTTTCAGTTATAACTTGTTCACAAACCTTAGAAAAACAAAATATCATGACACATATTGTGTATCATACAAGTATCTTCAAGTATTGTGATACATTATTGCCACATAGACTATCCTACAAGAACATTAGGCCTCATTCACCAA